TTTTATTAAGATATAACGTCATTAAATATGAAATTCAAAATACAAAATTAATACTAAATTCAACAAAACATCAGGTATCTTCATTAAACAATCATACACGCGACATAGAAGTGATCTAGTAATGATATCAATATCATTTTTTGTCAAAGAGAGATTAGTCGTTCAACCTAATGATAACTACGTAAAACACGATTAAAGTTACTGTAATTTTTAATGCTGAAAGTAACATATTATGAATAAATAATCGAGATATTGATTACTGTTTCCATTCCAAGTTGATGAAGATTGTGACAGACACTCAACACTCCCAAATTATTGTTTAGATTATTTCATCAGTCAAACAATTGTGTACCATTAATGTTGTTGTTCATTCTGTAAGGATAACAAATGCACGAAGTATACAATAAATTGTACTTTACTGTACTGAATATCACCAATGTTGGTTAAGTGAATCGAATCAAATGAACTGTGCTGTTCATAAAGTATATCTTTATTCGTACGTACTCAAGTTATTACTTGTTTTTAACTAAGCAATTTTCCCAGTCCTGTTGATATTAACCACTTTTAAATGTTTAACATCAAATTTCATGAATGAATCACTATTTGCATAGTATCATATTTAACATATCTGATCAAGTTTAATTATTTTTTTTTTCATGACGTTACAAGATAGTTTCTTGAAGAGGAAGCATATCACATGATTCAACAACGGTAGCCTAAAGTCAATGAACAAATCATCAATTTACCACAATTGAAAATAATTTTTTTTTTCCAACCACATAATTGTTTCAAGATATTCTCAGCTTCTCAGAATAAATTTGTCTGCATTGAGAATATTCCAACTGATCGTTTGTATCACAGTTGATAAAATAACAAATATAAAATGTACCTACATAATGGTATACGATAAAATAATTGTAATTGTAAATAAAATGTGACATGTTTAAACATCTTTTTTATCGTACTAAATTTTAACATTGTTCTAAATATAGATGCAAACACTTTTCTACGTATATATATATATATATATATATATATATATATATATATATATATATATATATATATGAATAATAGTTTACTAAAAATAATCAATGTATAACTTTCCCCACATAATTATTATTTGTAATTGTTGCTTATGAGCAATAAAAATTTTCAGTTATAGATATTTTTTTTCTTGAAAAAAAAAACATGCAGAAGCCTTAAAACTCAAATGCAACAAAATCACAATTATTTGAATAGAAATAATGCAACTACAAAATAACAGTTTCCTAACATTTAACACTCAACTAAATTACCAAATATAACAAGAAATGAGAAACTTCACATTAATCTGTACAATTTATTCGAACAAAAAGATATATATATATATGAAATGTAAGTAAAAAGCACCGACAAAACATCTAAGGAGTTTGTAGATGATAATATAACGAGGATATGGACTAATATGATTGAACTGATAAATAAGATGTAGTATAAGCAACATTATTGAACTCATATTCATCATAGGTTTAAATATATTTAGTTATACTGATCAGATATGATCCATTTCGGCATTGTAAAATTTTATAAATGTTCATTAATCAGACTTAGTTCGAATGAATTTATTTAAATGATTAAACAGTTATTACCTATTACTGCTGCTACTACTACCACTAATATACATAGTTATGGTGTCCCAATAATATTTCATCGTCAAAAAGCCACTATAAAAATTAATAAATATTGGATAGAAAAACAAATCAGTGAGGAACGAAATAAAAGTATCTTTCAAATATTTTTCTCGAAAATTTCATAAATCAAATCGAGACATGCATAAATCCTTATTGTTAACATTTGAGTTTCAGAAGAAATATTAACACTAAAAATTCAAGTACAGCTAAATATGAAGCTTGAAATATTAGCAAAATATGCACTCACATCTACACTACTAGACATTATTCAAACTAGTTGCCATAAACTAATAATTTGTAAAGCTAGATAACTATTTGATACTAAAATGTGAATCACTACAAATGTTTGAACAATTCAAATATTTGTTAAAATCACTAACACACTTGTTACATTACAGATATTGATGGACAATTCGAAATCATTATCAAAACTTTAAAAAAAAAACGGCATGTCAATAAGTGAAAACTCTGTTATGATAACTTTCATTTAAAACAAAATAATCCATCTTCCTAATGCATTGGATCCAAATTTCAGTAGGAACAAAAATGCTAAGATACGAGTACACATAGTTGACAAGCCTCCGATTGGACACAATGCAAGAGACATGGATTTGCACAAAATTAATTATCATAATTTATGCAAACTAGACAAAACAATCACTTTTCTAATTTCAAAAACGAATTCAGACAAAGGATGACAAGTTGCTCTAGATGTTTTCTATGACTAGTCAATTATGCATTAATGATTCACTCATTCATCATCATTCGGACTCCCTAATTATATTTGAGTGAATACATTTTATGCACTCACAATATTGAAATAAGATATTTAAGTTATCAGTATATCAACACCGTACAGCCGCTGACTTAATTTCATAAGATGATTTCCAATGTGTGCATTTTCTAGGATAGAAATTGTTGCAATCTACCATACCGTAATTAATTTTTTCTAATGGTTTAAAAATACTTGAAATTTATGCTGAGGTAGTACAATTTAAGATAACTGCTTTTATCACTTAATTTTATTATCCAAGAGGTGGAATTATAGAAAACTCATATAGGTATAAAACGAAAAAACGTAAGGGCTAAACAGTCAGTAGACATTTAATTCAATGATCAGTCACGATTATCCTCCGAACCCCAAGTAGAATGATTCTACAGAAACGACTGCGGAGAATGGTCATTGAATCCATGAATCGAAGACATAATTCTATGGCTTACTTCAGCCAGCACTACACAGCTAAGGAGGTTTGCGATGAATATGTGTAACACATCCCACATACTTTGCTCGATAGTGACTGACAGCTAAACCAAATAGTTTGCCCTCATTTCCTAGTACCTTAAGTCTAACTTCAGCATTGCTCACTCAGTTGTCTTGTCATACATGAATAATAATTGGGGGACACTTATGATCAACTACTAATAAACTTCGCATGTCTTCTAATCTTAAAGGCTACGTTTCAAAACCACAAGGTGGAACAAAGAGAACTGCTTCTCAGCATACTCGCTATTCAATCGAGAGATGGAACTCATCTACATCACAGGCGGGACAGATTCGAATCCCAATCACATAAAAGATGATAATTCAGACTAACATGTGATTAGCATGATTCAGAGGTCAAGAAAAGAAGTAGAACTTATCTACATTCCGCAATTAACTACAAAACATTATTACTGAACATGTTTAGTTTTCTACGAGAATGTGATTGTAATTAGGTACCATTCAGATTAGATTTTTACTTTGGAAAATACAGTTAACTCAAAAACTAATCACTTAGCATAATCAACCAAAGTTATTTGTCTACCCATTATTGAACACTGTTGATAGTCCCTAGATTGTTGACATGACCTGAGCGAGCGTATACGGCAAGAAATGCCAAGATTCAGACACAAGTAACCTCTTAAGCTGAAATAATATAAAGCAGAAAACTAGTGAAAGGATTATGACGAACTCCCAATAAACTACATGGACTCGGACAAGCTCTCAAAATGGCTACGTTTACTAGCCGACGATGCTAGGCTCAAAGCAAATTGGTTAGGAATAAAACAATAAAGGCCTTTACAAGTACACTTTTGTTGAAGGATAAAACGCCTCAATGAGATTTTGCATAGAACTTAGTAAAATAAGGTATTGGAATTATGTAAACCGAACCTATAACATCAACTGATAATACTACATAAGACAATGCTTTAGTACGCTAGAACACGCCAATTTCTAACCAAGTAGTTATAATATCCTATCTTAATGTTCCGCACAAAGTATTCATGCCTGTAAAAAAATGGATTTCAGACTATGAACAACAATGTTTTAGAGATTCATTAAAATCAACTGTAATTATTGTATTTAACAATATACATCAGCATATGTACGAAATCAATAAAAAAAGACATTTATTATAACAAGCTAACACATTGATATTTGGTTGTGCAACTTTAAATTCAAGAAAATATATATGATTTAGATTTATAGATGAGAAGTTACGAAATAAACAGAGACACAAAAGTACTGATTGACAGATAAATAGAAAGATTCAACTGATGGTTTACTAGGCTTAATATCAATAGAATACGTACGAATATGAAGATAGTAATATTGACAGAAAGAAACTGGTTGGATCTACCTCTTTACCTGTCGATCAAGTTCTATATTTGTTTGTCAACTTTTAATACATAATTCAGAAATAGTCATTTCAATTTTTGCATAATCATATATTACGTAAAACAACAGTATAAATAATGGAAAAAGCGATATATGTACACTCAGAGATTAAACAATAATAATTATGTGAAAAAAAAGAAATATAATGGTAAAGGAAAGTATAAAGTTACAAAACTTGTACTTGTGCAAAAATGCCATTATTTTTACTACTTATTGTGTACAGCAGCTTGAATCAAAACAAACAAGACGCTAACAAAAAAGAACAGAGATTAGCCGAGCGATTAAAACATTTACAAAACGCGATTAATTTGGAAAAAACGTGGAGTAGTTGGGGGAAGCATAACTAGGATGATTTCTAAAACCGCATACATATGAAGAAAATTAGAAGAAAAACAAAATTCATACAAAATTTCAAACAAGTTAAAGCATTTGTACGTTTGCGTGGGTGCCTACGGATAAAACAATTCTTTAAAGTAACTTTTTAGTAAGAAAACTGCTAGAGCAGATGTCGAATTATGCTAAATCAGACGAAAATTTTATGACGACCGGACACTGACGAAGGCCAGTTCACAAATATAGCTATTATAATCATCATTCAGACGCTTTTGTTATTAAATCCCAGTTTTTAAACAAAACCCATTGGCGCCGGATATAATAGATTAGTTGGTTTATTGAATGCAGCATTTTCGTTTGCGCTTTTTACGATCTTTTCCCTTTTTCTCTTTCTACAAAACATTTTCAAAAGTCATGTAAATTAATAAGTATTAAAAAATTATGGTTTCAGAGATATAAAAGACAATAAGAATAACAAATCGTAGTTTGGTACGAGACGTCTATTTCACAAAAACAAGTATGAAATTTGTTAGCAGCTTTGATTTTGATGGACTTATTAACCATAAAACAAGAGTGTATTACTGTCTTACGATCACTTATCTAGGTTCTCTGGCTTCTGTCTAGCTATTTACGACCTAAAACATTCATAGTAATTAGTTTGATTATGATTATAGGAATACAGTAACAGAAGGAGAAGGTAGAGATAAGAATTATGCAAAGGTGACCGATGAAAAAACTGTGACGAAAATAGATCGGGTCGATCATTTATGAAGTGAATGAATTTCCAAGAGAGTGAAAAGGAATTTAAGAAGCACATAAAGTAAACTAATTAATACCTAAGTGCGGTGGCTAAGCCAGACTGGAAGATACTTAAGCGGGTTTTATGGCACCTAAGCCAATAGATAACGACCATCATCCGTAACAACCACACTCTGACAATAGCGTTAACATTGAGCACAGAACACTATCTAATATAGGCAACCCAGAATATTGAATCAACGGAAGATACAGATAAACATCACTGTCACCAGCTATCGTTGAAAAAGATCAACAAAAAATAGCTATGGATTTTCGCGCACATATTTAGACTAGTCAGATTTCAGTGCGAATCCGTGTTTGCCTGAGTCTCTGCTGGATACATGAGGATCAAAGCCGCAAGAATCCATATAGATTGGCAAAAAGATGAAATCAGGCTTTTATTGATTATTCTTCATGCTTACCAATACTTAACAGTATTTCTTGACCTTAAGACCGGATTTGACTCTATCAACCAAAATACTTTGTGGGTGCCATTATAAAGTGTATCGATGATGTGCGTGAGGCCTGTCATGACTCAAATTAGGCACTAACGGTCAAGCTTGAGCTGACGGCTAACGGTCTACGGAATTAGTTTAGATCCACATCAAGAAAAATTATATGCAATTAGTTGAGTGCGTTAACCATTTCATGTACGACGGGACAATAGAGTGAGCAATGCTGAAGTTAGACTTAAGGTACTAAGTAATAGTGGCAAGTTGGTTGATTCTGTGGTGTTATTGACTTTCTTACGAGTACGCCAAATATGTGTCTTACTCGTTTGATCCAACACACTGGTATGCCGACCAGCATAAAATTTTGGTTTCCGTGTTTGTTGAGTCTCGGATTATTAAAGATGAGACTCTAGTAACTAAACTAGTTGAACTAATTTTTGTCCTAATTACCACAAAATCATCTATCTGTTTTTAAGAAATAAGATGCCCAGCTATCTATAACCGTCGGCTGTAGTTACATTTAGCTCAGACGCTAACCAACACAGCATTCAACTTTGTAGCTAATAATGGATTATAATACTTAACTGCTTTGTAGAACCTGAGGCTATAGATCTGCTTAAGTTAGTTGCACTCTCTATAACTTTGATGGAAAATAGAATTTGAGCAACTGGAAAGTAACCTGAGGTCACGTGAAATTTTGATTGTTCTTCCAGTCACTTGCTTGGAACATGGACCACCAATTTTTTACTGATGGTTAATTGTTTGAAAACTACTACTACTCCAGTATTAATTACGAGTTTTCTTTAAATCCCATTTGTTTATCTGGAATACAGGACTGTAGAATTTCGACTAGTGGAGCAACTTTGAAGGGATTTCCATAAATTAACGATATTTGGTAGTCTCGGATTGCTAGCATCAGTTGTATAAGTGGCAAATAAGACTAGAAAATAGTTAATAACAGGAATAAACGAAAATAAAAAGCGAGTTAGTTGAAGAAGTCACAGGTTTGATGGAGGTGAGTTGATAACTGATACCATTTAGTTGCTTACAATGATGAAGGATACTTCGACTTCAGGAAACTTACTAACTATTATCGATAGTCTTGTTAACCGTGGAATACAATAAAGAACAGTGATCCAAGGTCTACCCATAACGAACTGTTGCCAAGCTATTTTTATAGGGGTTTCATACTTCTCAAACTACAAACAACACTAAAAGTCAGTGGGACCAAATGGTCTGCAGTTTTCAAAACAGAACTTATCTAACTTTTTTTGTGAAGATACAGTACCGTTTAAGACGCCAGTGTTTCTGAGGGAAAACCCTAATCAATAATTTGACCCCATCCTCAAACTTATGACCTATTGCCTTCGGCATCAACGATTCTCAGTCAATCGGATCATTACAAGTTATTCTACTTCATATAGAGGTTCAGATAGCGAAAATAGTGGTCCAGGCTTCAGATTTATCACAGATCCAATTATCCTTTAATAAGCATCGAAAATATTCTAATGTTTTGCAAAACACTTAAGATAACTAACCTACACTTAGTGTTAAGATATTCAATTTATATGACAACACTCGTTTAGTTTTATCATTTTACTGAAGAATCAGCAGGTGGGGACATTCATAATGGACACTGCCTACTAGTTAATGAAATAACTATTGCCTAAACTCTGGAGGTAAACTAACAAACAGGGAACTAAGTTTTACTACTTATTTGTTATCTTTAAAGTCACGCTGAAAAAACTCATGCTTCCATACCTAAGTGAGCATACAGCGCTTATCATTATGAACTATAGCATCCGAAATCGAAGCATAACATCAATAGAAACCTTCAAATGGCTACCAAAACTTAATTGGTAAAAGTAAATCAGAAATTTAGATACATGACTTGATGAAATCAAACTCATTCATAATGGTGTTACCCGTGACAGGAACTATGATATAACTTTAACGATGGGTGATAAGCATTAGTAGTATGCTTTTTACCATTAAAAGGAGGTTTATTCTCCTCTAAAATACTGGAATCTTTAAAAAGTCTGTCGATCTAAAGGAAATTGGTGTCTCATGAAATATTGGAAATAATGTCCTGAGGCAAGACTACAGGCTAGTTTGTAACAAGACAGCCACATGAGTCAGTCAGTCAGTCAGATGCAACGTAGAACTTTGTACTTAAGTACATCAGTTCATGTTGCCATACCACATCAGCACAGAGAAGTAATCGTCAATTCAAATCCAATAGTAGAAGAGGTAGTAAGGGAATTAGAAGTAATCGGAGAGGTTAGGATTAGAAGATACTATTCAAGAAGTATGATTCAGTAAGAAAAGTTTAGAGTCGAAACTAGAGGGGTTGAAGAATCCAGAAGATTAGCATTTGAGAGAACACAGAGAATAAATGCACCGGCGCCATTGTGAACGATTTTGAGCCATGTCATTCAAGGTCTCTAACCATCGATTATTATCATCTCGCGGACCCCAACCAGGTAGTCGACAATTACAGCCACATGAGTTCTCATGAATAATATATACTTATATTTATACCATTGATTGTCCTCTCTAAAATGACATGGATCCATCGGGCTAATGACTAGTGACTTGAGATAGTGTGAAATTTTCCCAGATATATTCCTTATTGTATGAATCGTGGCTATAAACCATGAGTAGGACACATAATAACAGCAATGGATCAAAGAAAACCAATCTTTATTTGGCCGATGACTACCCAAACGCGTTGAGAAACTGACAAATAGGTCACTTAGATATGTGATTTTTGGTTACTAGTGTAGTGAAGGAGAACACAGGTGAGGGCAGCCGAATTGTATTTAGCGAAAATTACAGAGTTACTCAGTAAAATAGGAAAACCATATCGTAACCGTTAATTTGCAAATCTTCAATCCATTGTCTGACATTTCACTATTCATGCGTTTCCTACAAATTCCATTGTGTTCCCACTCTTCCTTTCTTGATCTTCCCCCATCTTCTGCTGCCAGACATAACGTTTACACTCGCGTCATATACTACTTATAAGTAGCGCGCACCACGCTAGGACAGGGAGCTAAGCACTTAGTGCCTTCACGTTTAGGAAGGATTGCAATATTCAATCTTTGAGAAGCTCAGGTTTATGGTCATCATTACTTACGCCAGTTGCCCCTAATATAGTCAAGGACACCGATCTGCGTTCTCCAACTAACTACGTTCTGGGACTTGCTTTCCTGTCCTACCAAACTGCTATCGTTTTTGCGTGTACCGCCAATTATCGGTGCAGTGTTCCTTGGCCTCGAGGTTCAGAGTTAGGGCTGTATCGTGATGCAATCGGGGGATCATACACCAAGATTTATTGCCCAGCAATTCCATTCCCAGCAACAGACATTAGGATGGTGTCAGAATGAAAACTATATAGTCAGAACGCTATAAGTAAGGAAAAACACAAGACGGGTGCATGCGCATCATGACACCCGGCTCTGAGTCATTATTAGAGGTTTATGACCGACAATCATGGTTGTTTCATACCCAAATCAGGCAGGCTGGATTATCCTGTACAATTAGGTTAAGCTATTCATGTTTGATATAAAGGTGTCTTAATTTGACAGCTTTAGCCATTTTTAGTTTACTACGATACGAAGTGCCACAGTAAATGTCTGATGGGTGCAAGATTTTTAACTGCATTAGGTAAACAACTTCCTAGTCTCCAAGCTGAAAGACATCACTAACTGAAAGCATCTCCCATACGATCCTTTACAAAATTAAACACTTGCCTATTAAAATTTTCAGAACTCGTTTTAAATATGGCAGATCATGCTACTTTTAAATAACTTACATATTTTCTTATCTCCCGAACAAGTTCATAAAACGCATCTTCGACACCCTGTCTGGTCTTGGCGGAGGTCTCAAAATATGGGATACGATACGAGTCGGCTGACGCTTTTGCTTCTCTCGTACAAACACTTCGATTGGTGAGATCAACTTTGTTCCCAACAACTACAATCGAATGGGAAGAAATCGAGTTAACTTACGGACCATAGGGACTTCGTCAGCATCTTTAACTCTTTTAATCTGTTCTCGATACTGATTTATATCCTCGTAACTCTTCAGATTATTTACGGCAAAAACGCATAAGAATCCTTCCCCAGTACGCATATACTGATCTCTCATAGCACTGTTTGGAGTATAAACTTGTATTTTAAGTTACCTGTATTCCTCTTGCCCAGCAGTATCTAAGATATCCAACAAGCATATCTCCCCATCAATCACCACCTGTTTTCTGTAAGAGTCCTCTGCAAAAAATTTTAATGCTTAGTCTTATATTGACTATACCTATCGTTGGGTCATATTCCTCAACAAAACTATGGTATAGTTATTAAAAAATAAAAAAAAACCTACTGATTCTGAATAAGTTGGATAGTAAGGGCACTTTTACCAACTCCGCCAGCTGAATAAACAGATATTTATGTATATAAAACAAAGCCTACCTCCAACAACAACTAACTTGTACTCGGTCATACGGACAGTCGACCACGAACAGATAACGCCAAAGGCTCTGATGGCCTTGACGCGTTCAACATAACAATTGATAACGATTTTGGATGGATCGATTATAAATACAGTTCAACCATTTCTGTAACATTATTGAACTCCTGAGAAGACAAATTCTAAAAGATAATTTAGTTCATGACCAAGTAAAAAAATTTAAAATTTTACTTTCGAGGAAGAAAGTTTATCTAGCGTACTGATATTTCTTATTAGCGCTTTTTGTGCGAACTAGACACAATCATATTGAGAGGATCCCTGATTCTTGGTCTATCAGATAGTGATGTTTTGAATGCTACTCACAAGGTGATATATTAGGATGTATTGGAGCACAGCCCTGAAGCTGCTACCAGAGTGATGTCTGAAGATCGAAATGCTTGGGGCGACCAGAGTATATTGAGGACCATAAGAGGTTTAAGAGAATATACCGAAGAATCACACTGCAATGCGAACGGATATCTAAAAATCTTGTACACATATTTTGTAAATAAAATGTGTTTTTTAGTTTATTTCTACTTGACTAGACTGGACGCTACAGTATGACCTCCAGACCGATAACAACAGAATAAACCATTCATCAGTTTCCACCAACGTTTCTGTGACAGTGCATCATCCATATTCGAACATCCCGAAGTAGACTGTAATGAGAATATTATTATTCTATGGACGATCTAACTAGATTTTGCAACCGAAACGCCTCAACTTATTCGGGACATATTAAGACCATATGTAAAGATAACTGAAGGACACTCAGGAATTTTCGACTATGTTAAGATTTATGCCAACAATATGTCCAAAGCAGAAATTATCTTATGCACTGGATTTATTCAGACTAATGGTGTCATAAAAATCCTACATTAAACTCAGCGGACTGCTTCAAACCTGTGAGATGACGTTCTTGGCATTGTAACGAAACCGGTTCTGAACTATAGTGTTGCTGAAGATGAGCATGGAATAATTATGAGTATTAACATTCGCCATTCAGCACTTGAGAAAAGCGAGACTTAATGGAGATAGTATGGTTTGGGCATACTTCTCCGTTATCACCTTCATGGTATTCTGTAATGGTTCTTGAAGGAAACTTTAGCAGCTGTCTTGATAGGACGAATCTGAAAAACAGTTGCGTGACGCGAAATTTTTTAGATTAGGTAGTCGTACTACTGCAGGTTCACATTACCAAACAAGGTTGTAGGATTTAATTTGTCCTACAGATGTAATTCTAAAACGTAAACGCAAATGCCGCCGATGACAGAATCCAGAGTGAAACTATAGTTAACAGAAGAAAATGTGGTTTTAAACTTTATCTGTTTCGGACAGTATAGCGTGTCTTTAGAAAATGAATAAAAACATGAGTCACATCTATATACAATAAAATAATAACATCCTTCAATCGATAATTCATTCACAATAAAGAAAGTTTATAGACTGGTCGGACTATATGACGTGGTGAGCGCTTAACCAATCTGATTGGTTAGTTATGACATTACTACAATTAGTTATAAAATAACTAACAAAGGTCTTTTGTTCTGTTTGTATGGATAAGTGTGCTTACATGTGCCTATATAGGGTCACCCTGTTTATGCTGTCAAGTGCTCTCTCGTAGTTAATAAAGTTGGTGTTAATTTGTGAGTCCCACTTACTGGATTGTTCCACAGTAATCCGCGCTATGCTGATTTGGTCGGTACATGATCGATCCTTCGAAATCCAGCCCGCTGATTTCTAAGTTGAGCGTCTATGAAGCCCTTCATCATATTTAACATCACTGTTAAAGACTTTCCTCGGTACTGATGGCGGAATGATGCCTTTGTAGTTCTCACACTTGCTGAAATCGCCTTTCTTTGGTATCTTGATCGAGTGTCCGTCTTTCCAGTCTGTTAGGACTCGTTTTTCCCCCAAATCTTGCTAAGAACGGAGTGAAGCATCTTCGCAGTTACTGTTATGCTTGTTTTCAATGCCTCAGCTGGAATGAGGTCTGGTCCCACTTCTTTGGTGCTCTTGACTTGTCTGATGGCCATAGTGATCTCTGCAAATGTTGGTGGGCAAACACCGGCTGGGAGACTCGTGGATGCTGCTTCTGTGTTAGGTGGAATCAGTGGATCTGGTCTTCACTTCTTCCATGGTCCTTCATAACTTTTTATTGATGCAGATTTGTTCGGTTTGATTCTGTGTAGTGTGATCCAGTGAAATCCATGTAACTTTGTGTATGCGTTTATGTGGGAATATGGCTTCGCCTATGACTAGTTTATTAAAAACACATATGTTCACGAATCTTTCACCATTTTCGTTCCTTTCTCCCAGTTCACATCGTCCCATGATGTCATCAGATCCTCATTGTTATCGATGGTAGCTGTGTCGCTGTGAATGAAACTTATTCTAATCCGATATTTCTTTGTTTTGAAAGATGCCTTGGTTATCTCGGGTCCATAACATTTCCATCTCATCAGCGCTTTTCGTGCTGATCCAACACGGATCTAATGTGTTTCGCTGATTTTAAATATCAACAGAATGTACCTTTTCATTTCTGCATCGACTTGAATAACTCTCCTGGTCTGGCACAGTGTGAATCCATTCCATGTATTTTTAGTAATGGTTGCTCCAGTTGTGAGGAGAGGCATCGGCCTTGTGACCTCCGAAGGAACTAGGCTTCCATTATGAGACTTGATAACTTTTCTAAGACAGGGCAGAGTTTAAATGGTTTGGGTTAACTTTTACGGTTAGCGTTTTTTAGCAATTTCGTTTTCTATGAAATGGAGCTGCAAATCAAACGCCGATCCAGCTAGCCTCATGCGATTTTTGGATCGACAGTAACTCGGAAAGGGCTACAGGCGGAAATACGCCGACTAATAGCCAAGATGAGCAGACTGTTGACCTCAATGCAGTTATTTATTTCCCTTAAGTTCTAAATTGTTAGATTTTTCTCTCATTTATTCGAAAAAATTTTCACACTCTAACAGAGAATAATTATGAGCGAATCAATCAAGATTTATAACGGCGCTCACAAAAGTCTCCATTCTACTAGGTTAATTTTTCGTTTTAATTCTTAATAACATCCAAATTAGGATCTCCAAAGGGTAGAAAATGAAAAGAAAACAGAAGTACAAGTGAAGTGTTTTATGAAAGGAGTTCATTCTGCGTGAAATTAACCTCGAGAAAAGAGCGTGATAAAAATCACCGCTGGTAACCCTAGGGTAAGCTCGATATTTACACCAAGTTCAATAGCAACATGGAAAATCACTCGAGGTGATTTCTCATTTGTCCTCCATTATTATCATTCGCTAAGATTCCAAAACTTTCAACTACTGAGAAAAAAGCCAAGCACTAAAACTTTTCATATCAATGAACCGCTTTCTTAAACCTATACTTAGATCCAAAGTAACTAACAGGCAGTCAACATTGAACGATTTTTTATACTGGTATCACAGGCTCCTGAATGTAAAAGAACTCAATAACAAATAAAATATTACGCTTATTGAGGCGTTGAATATCTGTCAATTGTCTTTCTGACACGATACAGAACGTTAAAAGTTGTTTTTTCGGGCTGATTATAAGATTGAGAAACTGGTGATATTTTAACAGAATAGTAACAGGATGATACTCAAGGATGATGAACTTATGGTTGTTTTTTATGCTCTTCTAACTAAAACAGGCTAATATTTTATATTACATGCTTGAAGATTACCCTCGTCATGCTTTGGTTGCTTTAAACTCGGCCCACAATAAATATTCGAACGATCCGTTTATCAAACTACTAACTGGTGTCCTATTAGTAGCAGAAGGTTACATTTTTGTTTAACTCCGACGTTTCTTAGGCTCATTTCAAGATGCTCTAAAGCACTTCAATGAGCTCAAGACCAAGGAAGAGTTTTCTCTCGCTGCCCTAATATGTATTGCACATTTACATAAGAAACTGCCAGAAATATGTAGTTTCGATCAAAATGTCAATAATCTCTAACTTTTTAAAGATAAAGATGTAGTAGAAGAATGTGAAAACAAGATAAGAGAGTTCAGGAAGCATGCTACTGATAAAGTTATCCCTAATAATTTTACCCATTGACTTTTTTTCCTACAGTCTCTCTATTTTGGTGCTCTATCACTATTTTTGTTCAAAAGATACGAAAAGGCCAGAGAATACGCTGAAAAGGCACTTAAAAGCAATCCACAATCGAGGCAGGCATGTTGACTAACATTTATTCATAAAACCAATTTTTCCTTTAAAAATTTTCAGATATTATGTCTGAATGGATGGATTGGATTAGTGTCTGACAATGAAGATTTTCACAGGAAGGCTTTGAAATATTTTGATGAATCTGAATAGTATGAGTTGATTCGATTTGTAACTTTATTGATTAGTGACGAGGAAACCATGTCGATTGAGTGTTTGATGGGTAAAATCAAATATTTACAAGTCTCCAAGTCATTCTCATCCGCTATGGAAGTCGTCAATATTGTGGTAGTAAAGTTTCCAAACTACGTCCCTGCATTGATTGAGAAGATGCGGATTCAGTTTGTATTTCAAGACTGGGAACTAGCTTCAGATACAGCTATCAGGTAGTTGATTGTTTTAAATTTCAGCACCAAGATTTAGATGCCTGTCGATAGACCCTAAGTGTATAGAGGCGTTGAAGTTTCAAATTTTGTGTCTGCTGTGTTACGAAGGAAACAGTAGTGCAGTAAGCTTTAAATAAACAGTTTATCTACTTGTTAGGCACTGGAAAAGCTGGAGGAACTCACAAAAGCACTTGAAACATCAGAACCAAAGTCATCGAACCAGTATTTTTTAGTTTCTAGACTGATATCTTCAATCGTAAGTTTAATTCTGATTGTAATGTTTCTGCTAATACCGCTCAGCTCTTAAAGTTTCTTAAAAATATATATCGTATATCACTTGCTACTTATTACTCAGTTTCACGCCTATAGGGTTAGTTTTCAGCATCACCACAAGTACAGAAGCCGAAATTATTGTCTTGTACGTCTTTCTCCATACTAACATAAATGAAAGCAAGTCTGTCAAAAAAACGATATGCGGATACAAAATTTTAGTGACGTTAATTCATTATTTTCACTTCTTAACTTAATGATCGAGTGGTATTTTAGAATAAACATAGAATCGCCCACAGAGTATCATAAAACATTCGAGTAATTACATGCACACAAAACATGTAAAGCACATTACAAAAGCCTAGAAGCTCAATTATCTACCATTCTGAATCATCATTATCTAAAAATCCAACAAATTGAAATGATATGTAAATGAACAAGGGGAAAATGTGCTTACTTAGTAAATGAATCGATACCTAATCCATTGATCTTAATAACAACAAGGCAAAAGTTTGTTTAGCATTAGAACCAGGTGTTTAAACTGCATCGGTGAGATTATGTATGTGTATACAATAAAACTTGTTTATTACTTTAAAGTTTCTTATGAATTCAGTACTGTGATGTCTTTTTATTGAAAAATGGTTTGGAATTGCTCATTATTTTTGACTTCTAAGTTTGTCAAACGAAAGCTAATTTTTCGTCAAAAATTTCATTACCAGCTTTCAGAATAAAACACTACCATTTGGGTTTTTAATAAGACTAAAAATACTCTGAAAGCCACACTATTACAGATTTCTTTTCGGAACATTCATCATTTACTTAAAGAGTACTTACTAATTGTAATGCCAGTTAAGTTTTTCGATAATTTTCTTCGCAAAATACTTTCGACATTCAATGGAAGATTAAACCCAGCATTTTAATGTGAACTGAAATCTTATGAACTACAAAAAGCCAAAAGCTGTATGGTTTGTCTAAAATAAAGTATTTTATATAATTATTTCAGTGTGGTCGTGAGCCTACAATACTACAAAAGGTTCAGGAACTATGTGAAAGAGCAGTTGAACTGACTCCTGGAAATCATTATTACCTAATCAACTTGGGTCATATTGTTCTCATGCAGGGTAAACTAAAGGAGGCAATTCAGCATTATCGAAGTGCGATAAATTTGTGCGAAACAAGCTTTGATGGACTTAAAGGTAATAATCCGCCTTCATATGTTCATGTTTTAATGTCATTAGAATCTATAGTAACCAACTCTGGAGGCCGTTATTCTTAAGAATATATATTTACTGTAAAACATCCAGACGTTTTATATCATGAGTGGTATGGATTCGAGTTATTATTTTGCTGATGTTCCGTATTTATCTCGACCATTCTTTTTTTACGTGTGCATCCTGTGCGGATTGTTTTGGCATGGCCATCAATAATAAATATTTTGTAGAATCAATGGATCTGTATGCATATATGCCAAAACACACTGATCAAACTGTCGTCAGAATAATAAACAGCACGATTAGCTGAGATTTTTTATGATGTTATAAATACTAAACATGTTGTACTTATGAGTTATTGCCTGGAAACCATAGCTCCATCGATAAAACTTTAGTTGCTTAGAGTAAAGACTATTGGGTTAAAGTCCCTGTGTGAACATCAACACTGGTTTGTATTTACACTCAATGGACTAGTACAAAAGATGACGAAACGCATGTCTCGGATTGGAGGTTTAGTGACAAATCTATCCATTCTATAATGAAATCCAAACGTCTTATCTCTTCTGTTCATTTGTCTACCATTGAAAACTCACCTAAGTGAAGTTTAAAAGTATGGTAAAGTATAGTTTGAAGACTGAAATGGATGTCATTCGATAATATTTTTATTTTCGGTAAAATTTTGTCGTTTAGTCACATTGCCCTTTATAAATTTACTTCTTCAGCTGTTGTTAAATGTCAACTTCTTCAAGGCAATCTACATGAGGCTTCAACACAACTAGAATTTTTGAGTGAATTACAACCAACGACTGGAAGGTCTGCAGTAAGTTAATCCTTATTTGGCAAGCAATTTCGGATAAAAGAAAGACTTTTTAGGGGATTTTAGGTAGTATGCAGCCAAAACTTCACCCTATTAGGCTCATTTTGCAAGAGAAGCGATGTATCTCTATTATGAAAATTATTTATTTTACATAAATGTTAGAAACATTCGGTATTTTAACTACGCTGAGGCGGGTCAACATCAAAAGGCATTCTTCTATGGGAAACAAATGCTACTAACCGTAACTTAATGAGTCCTGATTGCCTTTTAAGCTCATCGATATATAACTTTGTGGATGAAATTTCACTACGCACCTTAAGTTGTAAACATAATTAACCAAAAACTGTAAACAGGGACTCAACTGTGCTGTTTCTCACTTTAATGAATAACTTAATATAGTATAACATTTTTCACACAAATCCATTGTCGGAAATGAATTCTTTACTTTTTGAGTCATGTATTGCGATTATCACAAACGTTTTCTCTCTTCACATTTTTACACATAACTGATTGGTATAGATAGTCGTTTTTCCTCTCTAAATGAAGTTTACTGATTAATAAAATCAGTCTTCATTGCTTTTTTGTCACTAAATTCCACTAGGAAGTGAAGTGAAGTGAGGTGAAGAGAATCAATTGTTATTTTCAAAATATTCAATTCATTTTGACTGTTATTTTAAATTTATTTCTATTCGGTTATAAAATAATAAGTTTTATAATACTAAGGGACATATAACACAAAATAGTTTTCAAACAGCAATCCAACAGCATTTCATTTTATGAACAAGCAACCCGAAATTTTTCTATTTTTATCTTTAATCCTCTTTCACTAGACGTCATTTTCTATATTATGTGCAACCAGCACTAAAGATTCAACCTCATAATGTCGCATACACGTTCTCCTAAAATCATAATTCAAATGAAATTCTGAGGCTTTTATGATCCAGGTGGTTACTCACCACCTGGATTGTTCATTGGCAGCTTTTCTAATTGTGGAGATAGGTGACACGGAATTGAATCCACCAAGGAACATTCGTTCTCAAGATTATATTGACATCTTGAGAGTGAGTTCCAGATAGCACGAAACGCAGGTTCACCGTTTACTGTTGACCACCTCTAACTGTCACCTTACGTTATCTAAACCCTGCATCAAATCCATTAGACAGCTTCACCAGCCAAACCCGGAGAATTTCAAGTAGTGGATATTTATTACGTTTCTAAAACTGAAGTTTGTAGGACCTAAATACAATGAACTTCTTTGAACAATGGAGCCAACTTAAAACCTGTAGCAAGATTTAGAAGGTCAACACTAACTTTAAGCGACATAAAACATCAGGCTCTGATGCGCTATAGTTATATAACTTTCAGAAAGTTAGTCCAAATTGCTTATATGAAGTCTGACAACTTGTCAGGTGTAACGTTGTTTGCGTTAATAGATAAAATTAAGAAGACAGAAATAATATATTTTGATAGTTGGAAAATTTTTAGCGAACAGCTGTAAATTGCTCATATGTTGCACTAAATAAAACGGTTAACTGAAATTTGAATGACAGTTTCATGAACTTGAAATTAATTTTGATATTTCCTCATTAACTTTTTATTATGTCTTATTTTACTGTATAGGAAGTGAGCTATATGGTCTCTGTACTTAGACGCAAACAAGGCTTATCAATGTCACAGATACTAATGCCTTTGAATGAAGCTATGGAGTTGCAACTTTCTAAACTTCGGGTAGGCAATAATATGAATTTATGCATTTTTATGTTTTCTACCCGAATACATGCTTGTTTCACCGAAACATTACTAGCAGTTGTGTATGGTACTGGTAATGTTATTATAAATAGGTTGAGGCCAAGTATAACGTAGGCCACCCAGTTTACTCTTTAAAAGACCTTTCATGTCTAGATAGTGTTGGGGTACACATTAGCTTCAAGAAATCATGAAAAAGTAGATAGAAAAGTCCCATCATTTTTACAACAATTTGACTTCATCCAGCTTTATCTAATGTAAGTTTGTGGCTATTTTGATAAAGTGACAACTAACTGATTTGAAAAATAATGATTGAGCTAGTTTCTTATTTGAACAGAATATGGAATATGTAAGATTTACCGGAATAAATGAAAGACAAGTGAACGGAGTAAAACGAAGTAAAGATTATAGAATTTACACTATAGTCAAGTAATTCACACTAGCAGTTGAAGAAACATTAATATTGTTCCAAATAATTATTTAGATGCTTTGATGTCTCATTTAATCAGCTATTGCGAAAGAGTAAATTAAACTCATTTTTAAACGGTGAGCTTAACTTGTACAGAACAGGAGTTTTTACAGTACTCTAAAACTATATTTTATCTAATCCTGTGGGGTAGGTATATTTTTTAGTGTTTTCAAGTTAGTTTACTACAGTTGAAATTGACAATAAAACCTATCAGTTGGACAGTTCTCAACATATAATGACTGAACCCTGTTTTTACTCTAGTTCATTTTCCGCATGGACATGTTGGCTGTCTCCGTTAATTCACTATGAAAATTCAAGCTACTTATTAGTAGTACAAGATGTTTAAATGTAATTTATATCATTATCATTACGATGTTATGTTAAACACTTTTCTATCTTTAGAATGTCAGTTTGAGCCTTGAATATTATGAACAGTTGAATCCAGACTTTCTTGTTCAAATTATCAGTGAATATCTGATCCATGCACCACCTCAACCTCCAAATATTGGTAGTACATTTGGAATATCTAATGATATGGTATACATGAATCATCAAGATGATTCAGTTCTTATGCGATGCTTGCGTATTTTAGAACCATTGGCACTTGCAGCTCCTGGTTTTCTAAAGGGAATATACCTGATGGCATACGTTCATTATATGTTGGGAAACACTACGGTTGCAATGTCCAATGTGAAAAAATGTTTAAATTTAAATCCATCTTTTCTTGAAGGTTATATTTTGATGGCTCAAGTGAGTTGAGTAAAGCATTTTTTTAATATTTTAATGAAAAATAATATTTTCTTTGCTCTTTTGTTAGTCATATACATTATTCGTTTTTTTTTAAGTAGCAAAATGAAAAATACTTAAACTCAACAAAAAATGATCTTTTTTCATAGCACAAAACTTACGTTCTGTTGTTTACAATAACTAGATTGTTTTCTAGAGGATAAGTTCTTTTGAATGTGGTCAACAAAGCGTAAAGATGTCCGTTTTTCTATCCTTTCAGTATTTACACTTTCACATATTCATGCAAACTGATACAAACAGTTGGAAGTAATATGTAGTGTGTAGTTGGATTCTTTCACTTGTGTTATTCAGCAGTGTACAGTGAAAACAACTTCGTAGCACGATATGTACTGTTTGAAGCTACCTGATCAATTTTATTTATGATTCGACTACCTTATTCAAACAATTGATCTTTTTCTGGCTTGTGAACTACTGCTATATAAAAGTCTTTCACTGTGATTTTTTGATTTAGTCACAAAGTTAGTAAGCATTCCGTCATCATGAAAGAATGACATTAATGTTTGGTGTTTATCTATAATAAGAAGTCAGAATGAACATTGTATTCATCAGTTCACTTTTTTTTTATCAAAATGACTTTTACATTGAAAACATTTAGTTTTAAAAGTTACATTTTGACTAAAAGGAAGTGAAAAACTCATTGGTATGTTAGAAAAAAGGGTAATGAAAGCAATTTCCACTGTATTTACGTATATAATCTGTAATATAATAATGAATTGACTTTTATGCATGAAATTCAATAAATTCCAACTTTACATTTGATATTCCATTACTGTTTTCACTTATAAGTATTTCTTTTGAATTCATTTCGTTTTATCTTTCTTTTTTATAAGTTGTCAAACAATTTTGATTTGATTCGCCATTGACACAGTGTATAAATTCATTCATTTTCACTGATCCATTAATTAATCATGGGAACAGAGTTAGATTAATTTTCAATGAAGCTAAAAAAATATTTCAGTTGACTGTATCTGTGATGTCTTGTAGCATAGACTACTAATAGTTAGAGGATAGTTGAAACTTGTATATTACTAGACAAAGTGTATCACATAAATTTAATATTTCTCCTAGTAAGCTGCCCAAAGTTGTTCACACACAAGTTTCGCAGTGAAAAATTAATCATTCAGATTATTTCAAGGGTATCAAATAACTGATGATTTTAAATATCAGTATATAACTAAATGAACATATAGTATGAATTAGTCAAAATCAGACTTTTTATGAATTTTATTCTTCAAGTAATTACTGTATTTATATTTCACGCGTTGTATAACTTAACTTATCAAGTTGTGGAGTGATAGCTTAGTGTTCAAGGTGTTCAAATTCAAACAGCGCTATGTTGCAATTGCCATTCTTGCTACACCTTTTTCAGTTTGGGTAGCTAGGTAGTGTCGTTAGTCGTTACAGACAAAGTGACTAAAAGCTGAATTTGATGGGTTAATGTCACGTAGCTTATCAAGATTCAGTTTCTAGAATCGTAATATCGTATTCAAGCAGTCAGTGGTGATTAAAATCTACTGTAGACGTTGCGATGTATCACCAAACTAAATGATGCAACAATGGAAAGAACCTTTTAAGATATTAAGTGGTTGGAGGTGGTCTACAAGAAGGCCTTGATCAATAGTTTCTGTTAAATGTTATTTCTTAATCATCCTAGTTCCTGTCAAAACAGTGGTTATATATGTAATCAGTCTTCTCCTCTCTCTCTCCACTTATTTATCCTTCATTCGTGAGGACATTGATAAGATATTTTAGTAAACGTTAATTAAGATTTGGATTGACTAATAAAATGATGTATTTTTCTTTACAATAACTTCCATTTAATCCATTCGTGTACAACTCATAGTTTAATGTTATCTTTTCACTAATCATGTGTCATATTTTCAGAATATTTTAAATGATGTATAGATCAAGTATTCTCATCCAATAATCGTTTCTTATGTGAAATATGTGTGCAAAAGTATATAAGCTATTGTATTTTAGAACAGTTTTTAATTTGAAGGGATAAATTTTATTTTACTAGTAAATTTTAAGTATATAGGCAAGCATAATTAAAGCAATGGAAGGCGGAGCATGTACATCATCTGTATAAAAGCACATATTGAAAAAGAAAGTGATTCAACCAAATGCAACGGGATAAAGCAAATTCTTTTTCAAACTTTTTCTCTTCAAGTTTCAATCTGTGGTTAGTGGCTTTTGCTGTTTCAATAGAGCGATAAAATCATGGTACAACTAGTGTTTAAATAGAGTTTGCTGAATGACCTTAGAACACAAAACAAATTAACATTCTTTAAGATAATACAACTAAGGCAATAGTCTCTGTTATTTCAGTACACATAAAAAGAACTTCAACTTTCGGAATATTCCTAGCAATCTGTTAGAACATAGCTTATTTGTAACTTTTTTATAATATTCTCAGTAAAAAAAACTTATCCTATTGTTCGTAAATCCACACTCTTATGTATACTGAAAAAAGTTGAAGAACTTGCTGTTACACTCTCATCATGATTTCATACTTCTTTGTAAAGATTGAACAATTTCATAAGTCTTATCTTAAGAACTAAATTTAGATGAACACATCAAAATGACAAATATAAGTAGTAGGCTGTATTTACATTACATTTTTCTCATTTCACTTTCAAAAATGGTGTATTTCAGTTAATCAGATAGATAACTGTTGTTTTGGATGGAACAAATCAAAAAATTGGCTGAACAACATAGACATAATTGGAATGTTAACTAACTTACAAAAAAAAATTTTTGAAATTTTTCATCAGTTAAGAATAGTGATAGTTTTGCCCATGTTTTAAAGTAATTAATTCGTAGAATGGTACCAATTATAAATTAGTTAGTTGATTCTCATCTATACATATGCACAAAATGAAGCATAAAAATTAAATATTAATTAAAGAGATGCGTGTGGCACAAATATACTTGCTAAGTAAGATCTATACAAACTGTACTACATTTTTTTTTAGAGTTATAACCAATTTTATTACTGATGAATAATTAGCATTGAAGATTTTACCTTAGTTTGCTAATCAATTTTAAAAAAATGCGTAACTTAATGATTATGTTGAATTGTTTTTCCTGATCTCTTGTTTGAAAATTCTAATATTTACAAAGTTAATCTAAACTTGCAGAAATCTCTTAATGTTTGATTCATTGGACATACTGTTAATGATAACTGATCGTGATGTTTATCGGATACCAAAAAAATAAGAGTTCAACACTGATTATCAAATATCACAATATGAATTTCTGTAAAAAAAATATTTATTGACTAGTTTGGTTGCCATCTGATAGCTTTAGTTTAATCCTAGTCGTAAGGTTTCCCTGTTCTGGTGCCTAGGTCTATTTTACTAACTGAAACTTTTATCCTTTGAAATTATATTTTGCTAGGAATAGTACTTGGAGAATAGAACATACACAGAAGTTGTCATCATACTGTATATGATAAGAATTACGATAAGCGTTTTTGAGTGTAATCAAAACGACCATCAGACAATGAACTGACAATAATGGATTGCTTTGATTGGGTTACAAGCTTTTTGAATTGCATCGGTCTCGCGTTCTTACAATAATGGTTTAGTTAAGTTTGACTAGGTCATCAGTAAACTTTTTACAGAAAGAAGGACACCCTTCAACAACTAATACTTCTTAAAAATGTCCATTTTTCCGAGTTTTTTATTAAACACTGATCACTTCTAATTACTGCAAGAAAATTTGATTGCACTTGTCCAGTCTACAGACAGCTGACTCATTCGTCTTGTTTATCGCAAACATTAATTGTTTTCTTCACTTCCTCTGTATTAAATACATTTTTCTGTTAGAAATATTACCTCTCCTATGAAATATCACTCGTACTATAAGCAGTATGTTAATATTTGTATTTTCGTAACAGCTTGTAGAATTTGGCACAGCCATATTATGTGAAATTATTTTGTCTATAAGAGTTTAATATTGAGTTTTCAAAATATGCAAAACTATAAACTGTTTAACATAATTAATGATTTTCATCTACCATGGAATACCACTTTGACTACCTTTCATCACATACTTCATATATCTTATTCCTAAATTGTATGATTTATTATGCATTCTTTACTTTCATTCAATCACATACGTCAAATGGATATTTAGATAACTGATTTTATGCATATACACAACTAGTGCAATAAATTGTTTGTTTTTTTTTCGTGACAAATATTACTGATATGAAACTTGGGCTTGATCTAAATACACTTATACAATAGTAGACAATAAAAAATAAAATAAAATATTTCTTAAATTTATTTTTAAAGCTGAATATACCACTAACTGATTTGATTTCCTAGGCATCATTCACAATAATATCAGCATTAGACAATTGGTTTGTTTTGATGGTCTTTCCCTAACATACACAAATCATTAACAGGACGAAGGAAGCATTTATTAAGCACATATTATAGTAAACTATTCAACATTCCAAGGGAAGCATAGTATGTAAGCATTAGTAGCAATACTGTGAACTGTGAACTGTACCGACTATAGGTTAACCACACCCAATTTTAGTTATTTTATGATTACCAATCAATAAGTATTAATTGTAGTGGTGGTGTTTGGTTCTCTGAGCTGGGTGTTTTGGTTGTAGAGCTTTGATTGTTATTCTGAACACCATTATCAGCACAAACTTCAGATAGAAGTGAAGCATTCGAATTTCTCCACGTTTGACCTGTAGCTTGTTCTGCTAACCTCGATCTTGATTGGTTGCTGTCGACCTTAAACCTGTCGTTGTTTACAACCAGCTCAGAGAACCAAACACCACCATCGCAATCATCCACCTGAGCTACAAATCTTCTCCACCATCTCAAGAAGTAATAAAATTGTCGTGTTGATCAAGATAAAACTCTGTTACTGAGTTGATTGATATTGTCTTTTAGGATAAAAGCCTTTAATTTTTCCTG